GTCCCCTCGTGCGATGTATGCAGCTAATTTTACCTTCATCGGCATAAGAAGGAAGAAACTGCAGAAGTGTCTTCATGGAAGGAAGATGAGAAAGTTGGAACAGCTGAATCCAAGATCTACCATCTGTGGGGTAGACAATACAAGAAGTTGTCGAGATGTAGCACCGTGATAGAGTTAACCCTGGTTAACATGTGTGTTATCTTATTTAATGGTAACATTATCAAACATTTAGGAAGAAAAAAAATATCATTGATATCAGAGCACTTTGGATGTCAACAAAATCTAGTGACCCCAAACAGCTCTACAAGTGGTGAAAGACTACGATATGAGATACAAGCAAAGATTTCTGATGTTATCATTGGAGGCGACTCATTTTCCAAATCTTCCTAACTTCCACTTTCCCCTCCTCCTACTTCTGTGCTGTGTGCCCTGCATTGTATTATGAAAATTAAAAAATGTAGAAACGAATGCTTAATAAGAGAACGTCTATATGTTCTCTCTTTTTTGTTCACTGCATCTCACGGAATCCGAGCGTTCCAAGGAAAAGTCCAATATTATAGAAGTGTTACCGTGTTAAATGAGCACTGACCAACTCTAAACTTAAACTATTATCCCCCACTGGGAGAAGGTGGGAATAGGAAAAGTAAACGGAAGAGCTAGATTTCCCAATTCTATTACTGGCATGACTCATATTTACATTGCGTTTCACTAAGTCTTCAAACTCCCCTCCCCCCTCCGATCATATGTTTCCTCTTCTTTATCTCAGTCTTTTCCCTCGCATCTTTATTTTAACTCTCATCCCTTCTGCGCCTCTCTCTATCTTCTTCCGGTCTCCTCTATTGTCTTCATCTTTCCTTACCACCCCCCACCCGTTAACAAATACTAGTCTGAGCAAGCATGAATGAAAGGTCAACCAGTGTGTATTTGGTCCAGACATCGTAAAAAGAACCCAACATTTCTCATAATAAATTGCTTTTTATTTGTTAACTTGTGTTTCCCAAGTTGTACATTTGTTTCACCCACTGCTGGTTTATCTGTATGGTGTTAGTGTAGAGTCTCTACTATCTGGATATGCAGAATTCCTGATTAGTGGAACTAGTTCATTATGTCCCAGTAACTTCTACTTACTAAGACGTCCCTGAATTTCCCGGAAAATCAAAGGACCCTTTTCACGCCAGGGAAGCGTCAGATACCAGCCCTATATGTTTATTTAACAATCTGCACTTGATGATGATGTGGCTAATATTATACCAACCATTTTTTTTTTACTGCCTACAACATTCTGATACCCATTTTAAGATGGGTCAAGCTGGGAGTCAATTATAAAATAATCCTTTGTGCAGATATGTACCCCAAGACCTTTTCATTAGCAGGGAAGCACCTGTGCTGCCACGGTCCCCGTAAGTATTATGCTGACTGTTTCAAGAGCGGCTACCACCTTTCTGTCAAAGGCAGGTGGGTTTTTTTTAATAGCTTGATCCATGTTACCGATCATGGATGTCTTGTGTTCAGTATCTATTTAGGAACTGTGGAGTAATCAGTTTGCCCTCATCCTTTCTAGGGCATCAAGATTGGCAAGACTTTTATTTCTTGACTACTTATGCCGATTATAACCCTTTAGATTCTCACAGCTATCTTCTCTGTGGTATGGGACGTCGCAGGTCAACCCAGCCTAAAATGGGTACCAGGATGGGCTGTCCTGGGAAAGTGAAGACAGCCGGCGTAATGCTGACCACATTACCCAGAGTGCTGATGGTCTGTTAAAATATGGGACGCTCTGCCCATATGCCCGATGCGCCAAAAGGGATCTTTACTTTTTTTTTTAACTATCTTCTCTATACACCCTTTCACCTATTCTCGGCAGCAGTGGTCAAGCTTATTTTTAAAGCAAAATCGGAAACAACTATTCTATACCATTCTCTCAACTGCTTAGACTGTGTAGGTTGTGTTGTAATGATTTGTTGACTAAAGTCACACAATTTTCTTGATTTTTTTTTCTCCCATAAGTTCTTTACCAAGAGAGAGGCATTGCACACTAAATTGAAACCTGCTCCTGGTTTAATCTTAACCTTTCACCTGAACAATCTGGCTATTTCCAGAACCTTCAGTCGACACATTTAGATTTTCTGCTATGATCTGGAACTCCTTCGGTCTAAAGAGTTAATTTCACATTAGGGATGCGTTTAATTGTGAATCATGTCACCCAATTTATGACATCATCTGCAAACAATGTAAAAAAGGTATATATTGGGGAAACCGAAAGGGAGCTAGCAGATCGTTTCCGTAAACATCTGAAAAATATTCGCCATGAGACTGGTCTGCCTCAGTTTTAATAAATAGTTCCGACAACTGAGGCAAAAGTGATATCTTCTTCTTCGCAATCACCAGCTGTAAACTCTGATGGAAAGTTCTGGTTGTCATCTACCTCTAGACTTTATGTTCCAGAACCGGAGTGTTGCGTGCACAACCATTTTACAGATCTGACTTTTGTGTATGTTGACTGGTTTCCTGCCTCTCAAGCTGATGCATTTCGACATTGAAGGAAGCTCCTAGTTAGTCGACTCTTATGACATGCTTGTTGGGGAAGCTGTGGGTTTATTCTTGCATAGAAGCTCTGTTGTATTTAGTAGTCTATTAATAAAGACTTCGGTTGAAATGTTAGGCTGTGTTTGTGCCAGTTTGAAACCCCTCCAATGAGTTTTTGGTCACTTTTTATGTTCTATCTAGCACTTACAGCTTTCTTATAAGATTAGTGTAATTTAAAATTTAACCCCCCTTCCCCTTTCCACACACACGCAAACAACAGGGTGACAATTGAATATTAACAAAAAATAATATATTTCTGCATTTGATATCAGCCACATTTGACATCAGTCCTACTACCTCTGTCACAAAGTGGCTGGTGCATCCAAGGTCGATGCTGGTCCTTTGTTTTCCCATGTAACTCCCTAGGGTCAGATCACCAACCTCTGCCAGAAGTAGATAGGACAATTCTATAGCATCACATGTTTAGGAGTCTGTCTACCCCTCAGAGAATCACAGGTGGCATATTCTTTTGTGTGCAGGTGTGTTCTAAGGTCTCATTGTCCTACAAGTTATTGAATGCTTCTTTTATCCGGTTCAGTATGTGGTCTCCATTCTGGATTCTTTGTGGTGGGTGCAGCGGTGGAAAACAACTTTCTGCACCTGCAAACTCATCTGCTTTCTCATGTCCTGGAATGCCACAGTGAGCTAGTTTCCACTGCAGAACCAGTTCTGCTTCCTTGGAACAATAAATGTCAACATGTGAGGCCAGACTGTGGCAAGGAATCCTATTTTAATGGCCGTTAACTATATTACAAACAATGTTATTAAGTAGATTTTTTGGCAATATAACTTCAATATTTAAACAAGAATTAATTACAGTACTGCTCTGCTGAAGAACTAAGCTGAAAACTTGTTCTCTGCTCCAATTTTTCTTCGGGATCAGTTAAGTAGAGAGAGTCAGATATGTTTCATACATGGTGGTCTTCAGTTACATAGATTACACTGACTGTCCTTTGTAAGGGTGACTGTCAGGTTTAACATTTTTAATTAAAAAAAATAGAATGGTGCACCCTCAATATGCAAATTAAAATTGTAGAGAAGAATTTTTGGATACATTTGTTTAGTTGTGAAATAATCACCGATGCCAATGATCAAGATAATGATGATGTATAAATATATGATGCTGGAATTATATTCTGATAAAATAAAGCAGTGCACTGAAACATCAAACCAGTGATTTGTATGGAACCTTTGGCAGGTACTACCAGGCCCAGATGCTGGACTAAATTCAGGTTGCAAACAAAGATCTCTTTTACTGACAAGCAACATAAGATGTGTGGTCGACTGTTCTTCAGTCCCAACCACCACGTTGTATGTTCTTGCACTGTCAAAACTTGGTCACAACATACTGGGGAAATCTGGTTTTCCCAGTGGCCCCTTCTACTGACTAGTTGAATTATCTAAAGGAAATGAAACTGTGATAGTAATTATCTGCCCCTTCAGGCATCTACTGTGAAACTATGGAAATGAAAGAAGTGATAAACAATCTTCAAAGAGAGGAAGATGGCATCATCAACAGTGAACAGTTATTCTATGGATGGTTTACCAAACTGACAGAAAGGTGAACATGAGAGGATCGACCTCACTGCACCGACTGTGACAGAAAACTGACAGAAGACAAGCACCAGCAGATGTGTCACGTGAGTGACTAAGGGTAGACATCTCAATGCTCATCATTTTGTGTACAATACATCTGTAATACTAATGTACAAATCTTGTACATCATTAGCTGGTCGAAATATCTAGTTCAGGGTTTCTTTGTTCTTTCAATATTTGGGTACTTAAAGCATTCACTTGTACAGCTTTTGAATGAAGATGCACAAAATTATTAAATTAATTACATCAGTAGTACTTGACAAAGAGACCGCTTTTTACCACACTCTTGCAAACCGTCACATTGGCCTTCAGCTCACTTTCTGGTGTGCAGAAAGCTTTTTATGCGAGGCTGTCTTGTATTTTAAGCAATTAATGAAAATTATGTAGCTAAAAAACAATTACCGGGTTTAACAGTTCAGTTATTAAAAAAAAAAATTTTTTTTCAATTATAGTATAAAAATACAATTACAGACCCAGACAAAGTCTGGTTGGAGAAAAACATGAGATCAGATCAAGAATAACAATGTGCACACTTCTGACAATAACAACATGGAATGCAAGCAGTCGACCTGGGACAACCCATTCTGTTGCCAAAGTGTTTATCTTTCATGTAGATGTGCAACAAAACTAGTTAGAAAAACAAGCATTTAACACCCAACATTTGCCACAAACCTAGAACAATGAAAGCCCATACTAGATCAACCTCTGAACAAACTACACAGCTGCCAGCAGCCTCACACTGGCCTCTGCTTTCCTGTAAAAGTGTCTAAGGTGTACAAACAAGAAAGACATTTCCCCGACTGGCAGTGGAATGTGGTTTACTTGATAGCCATGACACGTGCTACACCTGGCAAAATTTGACCCTGTATCGGCGTTGGATCGAACCGCTCCCCGTCCACCATGATGTTTCCATTTTTGGTTGCTGGTTCAATACGAAAGGCCAGCACTTTCACTGCCTCGACATAAGGGGAATAAATGTGTCGGCCCTGGTCAAAAGTAAGAAACAGATTCATAAGAGCATTTCTAGAAATTCCTTCTCTAATCATCATCAGGTGTATAAGTCCATCTGAAAGGTGGGCGTCAGGTGCTGCTAACATTTCACTGCCTAAGTGTGTCTGGTAAACCGCAATTGCCAGGATAAAGTTCCCATCTAAGGTCACCCAGTTAGAGGGCACATCTTGGTCTAAAGGGTGCAACAAAGGAGTTGGAACTGCAGTAGACTTGGCTTTGTTCACATGGTAAGTCTCCTGTTCCACACTGATTTCTTTAGCATCTGATATAATTGTCATGCTGGAGTGATGTTGTACGCTGCAGCCATTGACTGGGCTCCTTGATGCTTGTGCATTGTGTTCCTTTAAATGTACATCCTGCTGAAGATTTGTTGTGTTTTCACTGTCAACAAGGCCAGGATTGTTGATGCTCCCAGGAGGTACATCTAGTTCAGGAGAGCTGGTAGAATCAAACAGTTGGGTGTCCTGAGAGGTCGTGTTTATATCTTTGATTTCGCAAGATTCTTTTCTGATCTGACCAGCATCACCCCCACCACTGCCAGAACTGTCTTCATGGAGATCACAGCTATCATCTCCACCTGTAGTAACAACACCAGTTTTCACAAATGAATCCCCTGCACCTCCTACAGAATCCAGCTGGCGCTCACTCTGAGCAACAAAGATCTTGCTATTGCAACCCAAAGAGCTGTTGCTATCCTCTGAGTTGAACGTGCCCTTGCTACTGCTTCTACTGTCTAGAGACAACCGCCTGACTTTAGCTAAAACCTTACTTGAACCAGTACCATCTTTTGCCATATATTCTGCAACCGGTAAAAATGAAACACGTCCTTTGTAGCTACGGAGACCTGGAAAAGAATGAGGAAAAAAATTATCAGTACACATCATTCCCATAAAACACACAAACTGTACAATCATGTCATTATTTATTTGCAATACAAAATTCAAATGTGTCTTCTTCCTCATCTTCACATTCGCCAGCTTTAAATTCCAGCAGAACGTTCTGGCTGTTCGTCTACCTCTGGACCTTAGTCCTGTTCCCTAACTTGAGTTTCGTGTGCACATCCATTTTACAGATCTGACTCATTTGTATGCAGACTAATGGTTCCTTACCAAAGCTCAACACTCAGAGGAAGGATGAGACGGATATATACAATCAGACGGTTACTGGTACCATCGGAATTGGAACTCTTTGCTCGCTGCTGAAGATGGGGATGAGCACTTATGGGAGTGTCCCGAGTGCTGTGATGTCGATTCTTAATTCAACATTCAACAGTGGTTTCTTGCCTTTCAGGCAAATGCACTCCGACTTCAAAGGAAGTCCCCAATTAGTTGACTCTTACGACATGCTTGTTGGGAAGGCAGTGGGTCTATTCTTGTTTTGCTCCACAATGGGGTTTCAAATGTATTATTATGAAGAGGAAATGTCTTATGCCTTTCTATCCTCCAATGAAGCATAGGCCCTCAACCAACTCACGCCAAGACGTTATATCCTTCACCATTACATGGAGCTCTCCCCATGTTCTTCATTCTCCAGCTCTCTTCTCCATGTGTTTTTTGGCCTTCCTTTATTTCTGTACTCCTGTGGGTTCCAATGCAAAGACATTCTAGTTATGCTGTTCTTCTGTTTTCTCAGTGTGTGTCCTATCCAACGCAAGTGTCTTTTCCTCACCTCTTGGTCCACTGAAGCCTGTTTAGTTCTCTCCCAAAGCTCTACATTAGTTATTCTATCATACTATATAATTCCCTCTATTCTGTGCAGGCACCAGTTAATGAATGTCTGTAATTTATTAGTAATTGCGTTAGTTGTTCTCCATGTTTCCGCCCCATACAAAAGTACTGATTTGACATTAGAATTTAAAATGTCAAGTTTAGTATTTCTTTTAATTTCTTCTGACCTCCACAAATTCTTTAATGCTATGAAAGCTCCTCCTGCCTTTTGATTTTCGTATTTTAATATCACTATCAGTTCCTCCATCTTTACATTACTGCACGTCTTGGAGTGGGGTGCCATTAAGAGAAACCACATTACTATTTGCCTGATTTATTCTCATCTTTGTCTTTCCTTTATGGAGTTGCTGTGATCTCGCATCAAGTATATTTAATTTACTTGCATCTGATTCCGGGAATGGGACAGAAGAGAAATATCATGAGCGAAGTCCAGACCATCAAGCTGTCTTGTAGGGGTCCACTGAATTCCATTCTTGGTGTTAGCAGTTACTGTTTTTATAATCCAGCAAAAACAGGAGAGGCAACAAAAGACATCCCTGTCGCACACCTGTTTTTAATTTCAAATGTATCTGTTAGCTTTCCCTCATGAAGAACTCGACATTTCATGTCTTTATATGTTGCCTTTACTAAGTTAATAATTTTCTGTGGAATTCCATAGTGCCCCATCAATTTCCAGAGAGATTTCCTATCAAAGTTTACAAATGCTTTTTCATAGCCTAAAAACCCAATGTAAAGTGGTGAGTTCAGTTCAATGCTTTGCTCTATTATAATACGTAATGTGGCTATCTGGTCAGTACAGGATCTGTTTGAACGAAAACCTGCCTGTTCATCTCTTAGCTTTTTATCAATAGCATCTTTTAATCTTTCCAAAATAATTCAACCTAATATTTTTCCAGGAACTGACAGCAACATAATTCCTCTATAGTTTTCACACTCCTGTAGATCACCTTTTTTGGGCAGTTTCCCAAGATATCCTTCTCTCCAGTCTGCTGGTATTTCTTCGGTCTCCCAGACTTTACTGAATAATCTATGTAGCAATTATGTTGATGTGTTTATGTTGGTCCTGATGGCTTCAGCTGGGGTACCATCTGGACCTGCCACCTTTCCTTCCTTAAGAAGATTGATAACTTTTCTAATTTCCTCTTTGGATGGTATCTCACAGTTAATGTCCAGTTCCATTTCTAAAGGATGGATATCTGGGGGAACCTCTGGGCCTGGTCTATTTAGAAGCATTTCAAAATATTTAACCCATTTGTCCATTTGATCTTTAGTGTTAGTAAGTTCCTTTCCTTGACTATTTTTGATCAATCCAGTTAGCTGACTAGTAGTAGTTTACCTAATAATTTTCTTGTGTTACTGTAAAGTTCTCTGGTGTTTCCTTTTGCTGCTGCTGTCTCCGCTTCTTGTGCTAGATCATTTACATATTTCACTTTATCTGCCCTTATACACCTCCTAGCTTCCTTATTGGCTTCTGTGTATTTATGCTGAGCTCTAGCTTTAGCAGCTCTAGTTTTGCTATTGTTTGCCTTTTTCTTCAATCAATTTAATGGTTTCTGGTGTTATCCATGCTTTATGTTTCCGTTCTTTCTTGCCAAGAACTTCTACACAAGATTCATTTCAGATTCCTTTGATCTGATCCCAGCAGACTTCAGTGCTGACATCTTCTGCTAACTGCTGCAACACATGGTACTAATTAGAGACTGTAATTGAAAAAGTGTTCCTTAAATTCTTTATCCCTGATATAACCTACATTATGCTGGTTTCTATGATTATAAGATTTTATATATCTTTTAAGTTTCACTGATTTTACTTACCACCAGGAAATGGTCAGTAAATATATTGGTACCTCTGAAAGCCCTAACATCATAAAGAGATGATCTAAACTTTTTGTTAATACATAGGTGATCAATTTGATTGGTTGTCTTATGGTCTGGTGATTCCCGTGTTGCCTTGTGTATTTTTTTATGGGGAAAAATCCGTCCACAAACAACATACTGGTTTCCTGCACAATTTGTGAACAATTCAGTTTCATTCACTACTCCTAGACCACGTCCTCCCATAATTTCTTCATAACCTGTGTTGTCTGATCTTATCTTAGTATTCAGGTCATCCATCAACATTTTTTCAATTGCCCTTACTTTTATTATTTATAATATTTTGAAGATGCATGTAAATTCTTCCTTAACAGATGCATCTTTATCATTTGTTGGTGTGTAACACTGTATTACCGACATGTTCACCTTCTGTTTAGCTAATGGTGCTCTTATTTTTCTGGGACTCACAGCTTCCCATTCTATTAGTGCCCTGTCTGCTTCTTTCGATAGCATCAGGGCCACTCCTTCTCTGTGGGCGAAGTTGTCCTCTGTGTGTCCTAAGAACAAAATAGTTTCCTCTGAATTTAGAATACTTTTCTTAGCCCCAGTCCATCTAATTTTACATAACCATAAAATACTAATTCTATAATGTTTCATTTTCCTTGCTACTTCCATTGTTCTTCCTATATCATAGAGAATTCTAACATTCCAGGTGCCATTTCTGGAGGTTTTCGTAGCTGAGAGGAGGTACGTCGACAATCTGGACTCCTTTCGGCTTTCTCCACACCTTCTACTTGAAGAACCTCCCCTCATCTTGGTTGGCTGGGTTTTACTTGCTTCTCTTTTTTTACTTATCCATGGTTGGTTGGTTTTTGTGGCTATTGTTTTTACATGATGAGGTAGCCAACCTCAAGCCAAACCCTACCCTTACCTGCCTCTTACGACATGCCTGGTAGGGTGCAGTGTCACTATTCGATGCTTCTCGTGAGGGCCCCGATGACGCACGGGCAGAACAGGAAATGTGAACCTCAGTATTACTGTAGAGAAGCTTACATGTATACAGGTGTGTGCGTGTGTGTAGTGGGGAGGGCTGTGTGACAAGCAGAAAATGCAAAACAGTATAATCATTTGGGGGCAAACGTAACATTACCAATAATTCGTTTAATAGCTCCAACAGTGAATCGGGCCTCGCCCAGTGTCCTGTACTTCTCACTCTCGAAGTCGATGTCTGCCACAATTCCCCAGGTGACAGACAGAAAGGAGAAGAGTGTGCGGTCAGGAATATGTATCACCACAAGATCCATAGGAACAACACGATGTTTCACCAGCACAAATGTGGCATGTAAGACCAAGAAGGAGTCCACGGGTTCTCTGTTAACAACAAATATTAATGTTACAAATAACTAATAAATACACACACTTGAATGTTGGCATGGATTATGTTATCCTCATTTCAAGATCATAGTAGTATTTTATTTTACTGTGGTCCCAACTCCCCCTTCCTCTTTGTTGATAACAACGTGGGAAACTGAAACAACCTTATCAGATGTGACTTCACTGGAGCAAGAATATCCAACAGCAGTTCACCAATCAGTCCAGAAATGGCCCAGAAAATATTTGACTATAATCTCAAAGCTATTACTTTTATTATTACACATGTCAATTTCCAAAAGACAACTAGTTTGTGAGGACTGCAGACATTCTTGCTAGCATTCACATTCTGCATGTGCCTTTTTTGACTGGAATTAATTTGAAAGCATTTCAGCGGAGGTGGGCGAATCAATTTATATGGGAACTTCATAGTGTGAGATGTACCATGCCCCATATTAATTCTCACAAACTATAGATACATGCAAGTAGGGGTTAGAGTTTTAAATCCGAATAGGCATGCAGAATCACCTTCAGGCACATTCATCAAGACTTGTATTTAAAAAACCTCATAGATTAATACTTTAAATATTCTCAAGCAAATGTCCAAAACATTGAAGAAAGCAAGCCATGTTTGTAAAAACTGCTTTATCAGATGACAGGCAGGTAAATTGTACCCCACCAGGACATCACAAAAGCTACAAACACCCGGTGACACAAAGTGCCACCATGCAGATGAGGATCACCTGTGGAGAAGTACCAGAAACCCTGTTTAGCAGTTAGGCCATATTTAAGGCCCGGCTTTATCTAGGACCCCCGGCAAAAGCCAGGGTGGGGCTTCAAAATAACTAAAAATTGCATCCCACAAGAGGATGACGATTGATGATATCAGATAATAAAACAAACATACTTTTCTCTCCATTCACATGCAGTGGAAATCTTGACTTTATGATTTCTGCTTACAGCATCTTGATTTTGAAATGTTTATTGATTAAATGGGCCAGCACCATGACTTCAGGCTTCATTTCTCCCCACACAGCAGCTAGCTGCCTGATTAGAGCAGCACTAAAAGGACAAACTTCCCAAATGCAGCAACAGTCAATGACATGGATCTCTGTGACAAATGCTCCCATGAATCGAATGGTACAGTCCAAAAACAAATCCATGACTCAGAGAAAACAGCAGCTGGATTATCTATTTTCAATGGAGGACTATTGAATCTGTGGTTATGATGTTAAACTATGATAACATGTTCTTGTAGATAGAAACACCACAACCAGTGCTCATGGATCCAATGTTGATCAGATCATTACACTGATAGGAACATTCTTTCCTGGCAATTTTTCTTTCATGCAACTACAAAACTCCCTGCCCAAGAATGATGAAACTGTCAGTGTTGTCTGTTATAGTGAAATGACAGATTTCAACTGTATTAAAAATATCCTGCGTCTGACAATAATTTCCTCCTCATTGGTCCTTAAAAAAACATTATTGTGCATGTCAATTCAAAGAATTGGCCACCATTTCTGTACCTTCTGACTACATAAAAGTTTCTTTTTATAGCTCGCCCTATTTCACACAAACTACACATTCTGCTTGAAAAGCTTATGTTTGTCTGCACTATGGCCTACTTTCCACAATGTCAGGTGTCTGTCCCTGTTATAAGATATCTGATGTCCTGCCTTGATCTCACTGGTTTCCCAGCGCTGGGCTCCAACATGCACCACCACCCCCCCCCCCCCCCAAACCCTCTCTTACAAGCTGGAAAATTTCTGCACCACTGAAATAAATTGAGATATAAATCACCCATTTATTGTAGAGAGAAACAAGCCTAGGAGAAAGAATGCAACAGTGAATCAATTTTATGTAGCACCCGCTTCACAAAATTACAATACATGTTTAGTTTTACATTTGCTTTATTTAATGTATGTGTCTAGGTAAACAGAATCTCATAATAACAAACATCGTCTAAACACTAGGACACCATTCTGTGTAGCCTAACATATTTATTACTAGGATTATATGTCACAGGTGCAGTTTGTAAAGCGCCCTGATTTCATTTATCTAATAGATGTACCAGCTGATATCAGTGGAATGTTAAGACAGGAGTGTGATAGGAATGAACTGCTTGCCATTCTTGTTGCTCCTTTTTTCTTCTGCCTAACTTTAAGGCAATAAGAGAAATATAATCTTGTGCTTATGTCATTTTGATATAAATCAGCATGTCTTGACTAACTGACAGCTGTGTCAATGCAGTCTTCAAGCTTAACACCAAATGAAATTATGTGGGCTGTCTAGGTTAATGTTGCTGTTGTGTGGGTTTATTATGGCATCTATTATTGGTAGTGTAGCAGACTACCTGTAGGTAAAGACTGTACAACCTGTACCAAACACTGAGGTCTTATCAGTGCTACTGGATGGAGAACAACAAGAACACATGCAAGTCAATTACAATTCGGTGCCTGGATAGAATAACACACGTACGAGGGTAAATTAAAAAGTAAAGCATTTTTTTCACATAACATCTTTATTTCCATACAAGGAGAACTACTCATATATCAGTTTTCCACAAATGCCCTATGCATGCCAATGCACTTTTGCTTTCGTGCAATCAGCTCTGTATCCTGTATGAGGAGGTTTTTGGTTGCTCACAAAGCCACGTGTGCACCGCCGCCTGTTATACCCTGTCAGCTATCTTGTGAGTTCCTTGGGTACCTACCTCACATAAACTTTACAGTACCCTTATTCATCGTTCACTACAGTATATGCTGATCCAAAACTAATGTCCTAGAGTTCAGCCACTTGTGCTGTTGTGATTCTTCGATCGTCTCTGACAATGCGCTCCTTCCCTGGAAGTATTTGTCTGTGCTGAATGTTTTTTTGGGGGCTAAAGTGGACACTTCAACTTTCATTCCTCACACTTGTGTGTCATGATTTCCAGCAGTCCATCCATCTTTTACTGAGTCATGGTTCTTGCCTCATACTGGGCTCTAACAGCCGACAGTGGATGTCTGCTGGTTTGATTCGTAACGACCACAGAAAGTTCACTAAGGTGCCCTGTTGCTTGAATGGTGCATTCGTGGAGTGCTAAGTCCATACACGTGACCTTTTTTGCTCAACGACACTCAACCGAATGAGGCAGTGATGGATAGCCCTAATTCCATGTCACTCCAAGTATACGCGCTGTGTTGATTCTGGCGAAATCACACAAACACCTGAAGTTTTTGATTTACCTTCATAACACAGATAACTTGAAAAAAAAAAAAGCCAATTGCAGTAAATCACAAACTGATGAAAAGACAATAAAAATGTAATAGTGTGACAAGCAAGAAATGATGTACAGATCTGGTGGAAAGCAAAGAACAGGCCGACCATGCAAAAAATGGACAAAGGGAATAACAGAGTTCCTGGAAATCCCCATTTACAAAGCAAAGAAACAGGCAATTTCCTGCAAAATATTCTCCATCTCGACACACCAAGGCACACAAGGATCAAGATAAGTTGAGATGACTAGAAAATCCTATGTAATTCAAAAAGCAAATTAAATACAGACAGATCAAGAGAGAAAGATAAATCAGAAACCAAGAAACAGTAATTCACACTGTTATGTTGAATACTATAAAATGTAGGAGACTCACCCTGCTGCATAATTAATTGAGCAGCTCAAAGCATTGCCTGATCCTGCAGGCAAACAACCGATAGGGAACTTGACAGATGTGGCCCAGTCATCCCGCTGCATGATACCATTGATGGTCTGAAACCAAAGCCAATTCAGTTTATTAAAATATCAGAATGAAATGAATGAATCAAAAACTGACACCACCACACTCAGGACACCCCCCCCCCCCCCCCCCCCCTCATTAGCCAAGGAAAAGTCCTCAGACTGATGATGCCATTTGCAACCTGACCCTCGTCCGGGCTCTCTGTTCACTCCCTGCTGAATCATTCTCTCCAGATATGGATGCTCTACTCAATCCCAGAGTCTTCACCATGTTTGCTTTACCATTACATTGTTCAGTGCCCCAGAGGGGTGGCCCAAGCCAGTCTATCAGCCTGCTACTTACTACACACACCTCAATATCCTTTTTTTCCTTCCATTCTTTCATTTTCCTTTACAATAAAATCTCATCTGCTCTTTTTACCTCTCACTAGAGATTCATCTGTGTATATAATGATATCATTCAAGTGTGAATCTTCATCGATCTGCGATTGCAATAGTGAGTCTTTTGGACCAGCCAACCATTCCCAACAGCTACGGCCCAAGGTTAACTATCACTCTACACTGAGCTTTCTCGCTGGGAGACACTGTCATCCACTTCTCACCATGTACTATCTTGTCAACTGCACACGTTTATTTCTGCCTGTGCCATCCCCTCTTCAGCCTGTGCTTCCTGGTTTCACCCAGTGTCTCATGCAGAAGATGATCCCTGCCTGGTGCAACTTTTAATGTTCATTTTTGTCTGTATCACTTTGCATCTTTCATACACAGAGGGCAAGACAAGTATATGCTGCACACACACAACTGGTGAATCTCATGTACAGCCAAGAACGACTGGCATAGCTTCATTTTGCAAACTGTCAAGTTTCTCTATTTGGCAGTGAGATAATGTGAACAGTCCCAGACCAGATTCAATCACATAAATAACCAGCTACTGGTATAGTACGTACAGAAATCTTTGTTCTATTACTTCTGCTCTCATAACCTTCAAAGCACTAAGCCCCCTTCTAATAATACTGCCTCTTCAATGTGATACTTGTAAGAAAAGCATCTGCAAAAAAGTTACTCCCAGATATATATGTGAATTATTATTATTTTTTGGTGTGGGGGGGGGGGGCATCTTACTGTCATTAATTCTGATGTTTGAAACATCACCAGTAACAATTTTATTGTTATCCACTGTTATATCCATCACAGAACCGTATTTGTTTGCCCACTGATCTACCAACCCAATGGTCGTGTGTTTAAATCCCATCAAGGAATGGACTTGATTAAAACTGAACCTGGTCTATGTTGATCAAGCCTAAAACTGGGCATCAGAAAAGTCCTGGTAATTGATACTGGCCATATCATCCGTCAAATGCAGAATAGTCTATAAATATAGTAGATTAGTAAAATAATACCCACTAAAAGTAAACAGAACCTTATGTACATCATTATCATCAAGTCAGTTACACTGCACTGTTTCATCAAAAATGTCCCACACAGTACATCATATTTGTGAGGAAGGTTTTTTTTTAAGGATTCTTCCCTAGCCATAGAAGTTCCCAGTCTTTCTAAAAGGCAAGTATTATTAATCTTTTTGTCTGATTCCTCTCTCTTGACCTGTCCAATATTAAAGACCCTACCAATAACCAAGCTGTCATCAATCATAACAGCTCTTGTGGCCATCTGAAGACTCAAGGTCCCTATAAGACTTCCAATGGGAAACAAATCAAGGAGAGGCTCTACTTACTAAATCTCAACCCTTGAAAACAGATTTTTTTCTCACCAAAACACCAGAAAAAGCACTTAAGCCACTGTCAATAACGGACAACTCACTGAGTGGGTGCCTGGTCAAGCTGCATGCACATTGATGAAGATGACATTGAAACCCAAAGATTAGACACACCACACTTGTTTATGGGTAAAAAGACCACAAATAAAATGAAACAGAGATTACCTCAAACAGCAAACCATCTCCAGAGACAATGACCACACCGTACCACTCAGCCAGATTGATAGTCTTCATGAGTTCACCTGCGTGTCCAGCATACTCTGAATAAAACAACAGGTAATCGGAAATGAATAACACAAGGAACATGTCAATTCAATTACTACAGGCACAGGGATGTGCGCCGGCGATGCGAATGCGCTTTGTAATGCTGAGGTGCCGGGTTCGATCCTAGCTGCAGGCCTTGCATTAATTTCGACAATGGTATCGAGAAACCAACCATCCAGAAAGCAATGGCAAACTATTGGGAGTAAATTTGCCTAGAAACACCACAACAGCCAAAAAATGCTGGGGTTGGTTCTGCAATGTCATGTAAAGGATACGCAACTAACTTAACAGGGATGTGCAGTGATAGATTTTCCAATGTACAAGGTTCGAGAAGAACGATGTACAGTAGAAGTTTCCTGCCTCACCATCACTTCTGTTTCTGATGGACTATGCCATGTGGTGCTGGCAGTCATGTCTGCTCACAGCCTTCTGTCTCATGTACTGTCAACCATTTCTAATATGCTGTCAACCAAGATGATCTTTTAATGAATTTAAATGTACAGAAATGAATGTTCTTGATTGCAATTTCTCTGTGTGACAGCAGTATCCGTACAAGAAGGGTTGTACTAGCTGAGAACCTATAACAGCATCCGCTGTCTCTACAGTTAAAGTGATGACCAGTTCTGAAAACCTTTCAGCTGCTCATTACTTTTATCCACCACCTGACTGCTGCCATGACTCTGTGTAACCTTGATCAGAATGGTCAAATCCAACTCTGTCATTACTGGAGGCTGAATCCAAGATCCAGCAATTTGTTCCAAGGAGTCCCTGTGTGGGTTCCGGGGGGCCTATTATAGGGAAAACTAGAACAGACCCACTGCCTACCCCAAAAGCATGTCCTAAATGAAGTCGGAATGCATCTGCCCGAGAGGCAAGGAATTAGCAGTCTGCATACAAATGAGTCAGATCTGTAAAATGGATACACACACAACTCAGGTTCTGGAATAGGACTGCAGTCCAAAAGTGGACGAACAACCAGAACGTTCTGCCTGAGTTTATAGCTGGTGAACATGAAGAATAAGAAGAAGTTACAAGGAGTACTTTACATTTTAGAAAAAAAAACATACATATATCAATAAATACCATACTGCTGTGTTCAGAAACAAAGAAATATTGAATGAAAACAAGCTGAAGTACTCTGAAAATACATGTTCACAGTAGAACTAACATATAACTACTTTGTGACCTCACCTGTCACTATAGTTTTGTATGGAATGGATGCCTCAAACAACAGGGGGGCAATCTCATTCTTGAAGATGGTATAAGCTTTGCCTGGTCCACTGTGTGGGTTAATGAGCAGCAACATTCTTCCTCTTGGTGGCGGCACGCAGCTAGCAATGTCTACAGGAGATTTAACAAGGCAGATTCAAGTTTTATGAGTGTCTCTGTCAGTGTAAATGTGACTGCACCTTTTAAAAGTGTGTCTGTCAGTGTAAATGTGATTTCATATTTTAATAGTGTTTCTGCCAGTGTAAATGTGACTGCGCCTTTTAAAAGTGTGTCTGTCAGTGTAAATGTGATTTCAGATTTTAATAGTGTTTCTGCCAGTGTAAATGTGATTTCATATTTTAACAGTGTTTCTGCCAGTGTAAATGTGATTTCATGTTTTATTAGTGTTTCTGAGGTGACTGGGTCACACTGAAGAACTGAGGACAGTTGAGTCCATAAGGACATCTTTTATGGTTATGAATGATACAGGTATTGAGGCGGACTCATGGGAACAAAATGTCACGGACTGTGTTGTGTGGAAGGGGCACATCAAGAAGGTAATGAGAATGAAGCAAGAAATGATTGCAGAAAGGATAAGAGCTGAGCATGTGAGGGGAAACCGAATAAACGCAAATGTTGACAACAGCGGCCCTGAAATCCTATGCTATAATTGTGAAAGACTTTTCTTAACATGAGCAGATCTTGCTAGTCACACTAGCCATTGCCATAGGCTGTGAGTCCCATACCTCCTCATAGTGCAACATAACACTATCGTCTGGAAAGACAGAAAGGCACCAATCATTATCAGTGTAAATATGATTTCATGTTTTATAAGTGTTTCTGCATGTGTAAATGTAGTGAATGTTATACTTGCTTTAAAACCTAATGAGGCAAGGTTAGTTATTTTTCATACTGGTGTGATTTTTGTTCATGTCACTGAAAAAGTTGTTTAAAGTCAGATGCATGCCCTTTGCAGAACATCACAAAACAATAAACCAGTGTTTGCATTTACTGCCTGCTATAGTTTTACCAGACAATTTTATGACCAGTAATTTTTGCCATTAGAAGTGTACCAGAATATACTGTTTTAACGATTTTCAAATGGAGTCCAAAGGTTGGGCTGGATGTCTGCAAGGTATATCCTACACTGTACTGGTTTCTGGGATATCCTACACCGTGCTGGTTTCTGAGATATCCTACACCGTACTGGTTTCTGGGATATCCTACATCATACTGGTTTCTGGTATATCATACACTTTATTAGATTCTAGGATATCCTTCACTGTCGTGGTTTCTGTGACATCCTACAAAGCACTGGTTTCCATGTTTATAAGATGTTATGTATCTCTGGGGTCAAATTTTACAATCAGCAAATGGAAATCTGGTTCAACATCTGCACTTCTAGGAACATTTATGACATGTAGACATAATCTAAGTTCTTATGCAACTCTGAAGTGGCAGACAGTTGAGACTGCACCATCAGTCCCAAAGTTTAGTTCATTAGAGTAATTCACTTCAAGACTTATGCTGCAGTTAATATGGATATGGGGCCTCAAACGTTAAAATAACAATAACGCTAAAATGAGTTGACAGAAATAAATAGGTGGCTGAAGCTAATACACATATATCATACACAGACTAACAAATAACTGTATGGGATGTCTGGGCATCGGCAGAGTTAACACTGATATGATCAATATGATCGTTGGCACTGTAGGCTAGTCATTTCCATGCTGTTTTATGTCATCAATCTGTCCCCTCACGACCCCCCTATCTTTTTATAGCCCACGTAAGATATCTTATCTTGGCATTCAGGTCGTCCACAAATATGCTGACATTGCTATTTCTTGTATGACCTACAGTACTTTGAAGTTGTATGTACAATTCAGCAGTAACTCATTCATCCTTATTGTCTGCTGGCATTTAACACTTATAACATTCATTTTCTTTCTTTGTGGTTCTAAATACTGCTCTTATTCTAGAACTGTTTCCTACACAATACCTTCTCTGAATAGTAAACATTCTATCCCTACCCTGACATGCGCTGTCTCCACTAGGGCACTAACAATACTATACCAGACAGGGTTACGAATACCAGCATTAGAGAGAAAGTTGAAATAAGATCCATGTCTGGATTATATTGACAAAGAATGAAATGGTTTGGCCATCTAGTGAGAATGTAGCCAGACAAGACTGCATATGAGACTTTTTAGAGTAGAACATCAGGGAGGAAGGCGAGAGGAAGACCAAGAAAGAGACAGAAAAATGGTGTAGCTGAAACCTGCAAAAAAGATGAACAAATCCATCACTCAAGCCACTCGAGAAGCGCTGGACAAATACAGAAAACCATGACACTGGCTTACAACCTGGCAACAGTGAGATGACAAAAGAAGAAGACCCTGAGATCAGGGTGAAACAAAATGCTTGGTTCTTCTGAAACATCACCCTGTGACAGGAACATGGTGGTTTTCAAATTAGCCATGCTCTGAGCATCTTCTTCTTCTTCTTACCGTTCACCACAGCTGTAAACTCAGGCAAAATGTTTCAGCTACTCGTCCTTTTCTGGACTCCAGTTTTGTGTGCATGTTACAGAGTAGGAAGAATGTTGGTTCCTTGCTTCTCAGGCAGACACACTCTAATTTTGAAGGCAATACCCAGAATATGTTTTCTGTTACAACATGCTTGTTAGGTGGCCAGAGGGTTCCCCCCCCCCTCCAAATGGATCCCATAACCCATATGGAGAGTTCGAAGCATGAAAGAAAAACATGTATTATTTCATCAACTCATTAATAATGAAAACAGTAGATAGTGCATTCGCTTCTAAACATAGCATCCAGGGTTTAATCCCTACTGTCAGATTCCTTGTACAGCTCACCAACTGACCCAGCTGTGATAATGTATACTAAACATTTTCTCCTGGCAGATAACAAAATCATCATCATCATCACTTGCCCCGCCAACTGGTGCAGGTGTTCATGCATCTCCACAGAGCTCGACCTTTTGTTCACTGGATCAGTTCCACTGTTGATATCCCTCAGAACCACCGTCACAATCCATCCTTCATCTCTGTCTGCCTCTCCCTTTTCTACCATTGATCTTCCCAGTCATCATAATATTCTCAAAAGCCTCCCCCATCATTATCATATGGCTAAAAAAAGTGCTTGTTTTTCCTTATAGTTGTATATATTGATATTTTTTAATTAGCTTTCTTCAAGAAATCCTCGTTAGTTACTCTGGCAGTCCAAGGAATCTTAACATTCACCTAAGGAACCCCACTTCCGTCACCTCCAATTTCTTTCTAATCTGTGCATTCACAAGTGCTAACTGTTGCAACACTTGGTAGTTATTAGAGACCTTAACTAAAAATTGTTCCTTAACTTCTTTATCCTTGAGATAACCTACATTTTACTGGTTTCTATAATTATGTTATATATCTTTTAAGTTTAAACTTGATTTTACTTACCAACAGAAAATGTTCAGTAAATACACCGGCACCTCTGAAAGCCCTAACATCATATATTCATTATTCCTAGTCTATGTATTTCCACAATCTCTTCATAACCTATGTTATCTGATTCTATCTTAACATTCAGGTCACCCATAAAAATGTTTTGTTGACACATATCTGATCAATCTGATTGGTTGTCTTATGGTCTGGTGACTCCCATGTTGCCTTATGTATACTTTTATGTGGAAAGATGCTTCTGCCAATAATATTTTCATTCATTATTCCTAGTCTATGTATTTCCACAATCTCTTCATAACCTATGTAATCTGATTATATCTTAACATTCAGGTCACCCATAAAAATGTTTTGTTGACACATATCTGATCAATCTGATTGGTTGTCTTATGGTCTGGTGACTCCCATGTTGCCTTATGTATACTTTTATGTGGAAAGATGCTTCTGCCAATAATATTTTCATTCATTATTCCTAGTCTATGTATTTCCACAATCTCTTCATAACCTATGTTATCTGATTCTATCTTAACATTCAGGTCACCCATAAAAATGTTTTGTTGACACATATCTGATCAATCTGATTGGTTGTCTTATGGTCTGGTGACTCCCATGTTGCCTTATGTATACTTTTATGTGGAAAGATGCTTCTGCCAATAATACTTTCATTCATTATTCCTAGTCTATGTATTTCCACAATCTCTTCATAACCTATGTTATCTGATTCTATCTTAACATTCAGGTCACCCATAAAAATTTTTTAATTTGCCTTTTCTTTCATTATTTAAAATATTTTGGAGTTGCAGATAAATTTCTTCTTCAACTGATATATCCTTATCATTTGTTGATGCACAACACTGTATTACTGACATGTTTACCTTCTGTTTCACTGTTCCAAATGATGCTTTTATTTTTCAAGGACTCACAGCTTCCGATTATATATCTGTGCCCACTATTGCTTCTTTCAAAAGCATCAGGGCCACTCCTTCAATGTGGGGAGCATTTTGCTCTGTATGTCCTGAGAACAAAATACTTTCCCCTGAATTCAGAATACTTTTCCTCACCCCAGTCCATCTAATTTCACATAACCCGAAAATACTAATCCTATAATGTATCATTGCCCTTGTTCTCCCTTCATTGTATAAAGTTCTAACATTCCAGGTGCTAATTCTGGAGATGTTCCTAGGTGAAAGGAGGTATGTTAATGATCCGTACTCGAAGTGCCTCCCCTCATCTTGATTGGCTTGGTTTTTCTTCTTTCTCTTTTGGACTTTTCCATGATTGGTTGGTTTTTGTGGCTAATGATTTTACATGATGAGGTAGCCAACAATAAGCACAACCCTACCCATTGTCGCCACTTACAACATCCCTGCTAGCATGCAGTGTTACTATTCTTTGCTTCTCGTGAGGGCCCCAGTGACATCTGGATGATTTCTTTATTTATCTTATCATATTCTTCTTTATGGCTTCTACTTTGTTTTTTTTTTTAAATTAAATTTTCTAATTTGTTTAATTCTGTAAATGTCTGTAAATGTTCTCATATTCTATGTCCCTATACCCAATGGGTACAGGTATAGGTTCATGGGATTCGATCTGTTTGCATGAAGTTCTTGTGTACATAATGTGCGGTTTCCTGTTGCCTTCCACATTCACCTGGGTGTATTTGAACCACTCCCTTAGACAGCAATTTCCGGCTGTCAGGACGTCAGCGCAGAATGTCCACTAATTCTGGCGGATAGTCCACCTATCTGCAATGACCACATCCGCTGTGACAGTGAGGTGTGCTTCCCATTTTCTACCATAATGAGGTGCAGTTGGGGATTTTTTCCCCCTTATCGAATCTGAGCCTAAGGTGGCATTTCTCCTACCCTCTGGATAAGGAGATAAGAAATAGACACTTATCTTCCGAACAAATGTCCTAAATTATCGAGGCTGAAAATATACTCTAACAGGGCCTCAGTCATATGTCAGTTTTGGACTTCCAGCGACTTAAATTGCGCACTTCCGGTGACTACCGCCACACGCGGCTAAACTAGATGGCTGGGACTCACGAGCAGCAGCTACTGCATCTCGTGAGTCCCAGCCATCTAGTTTAGCCCCAATCCACGTGACTGAGGCCCTGTTAGGGTGTTTTTGCGGCGCCATATTATGTGCCCGTTATTCAGAGAATAGCCCAATCCAATCCTTTTTGTTTTCCTAATGTCAGGCTGAAATGTAAAATTCTGTAAAATTTGTGACACTGATGTCTTGAATAAATTAAGCAATGTCCATAGCAACATATGTTAACAACTACAACAACTTACCATTCACATTGACAGGCAATCCTCGAGAAAGACAATTAATGATGTTGCGCCAGGTTTCTGCAACTGTCTTTCTTTTGTCCAACAATTCCACTGAATCGGTAGGAACCTCAAATACCAACACTTGTTTAGTTCGCACTTTCTTATTTGAAAATAATTTCTTTTTAAACGGGTAAGCAAAAACAACAAAACCACAAGCCGATGCGTCTGTATTTTGTGGAATATATCGAAAAGGTTTAGCTTCGCCATTTTTGTACTCGCTTGAACCTGTAGTTTGAGAAAGTCGATTTATCTTCTTGACTCCCGTGGTGTGCAGAAGACGTACTTTTGTTAACATTGAGGCATTGTTCAAAGCCATGACAACCAATTATATCACTTATTTTTACACATTTTTCCTGGTACGTAGTGCTACTGTTTGAAACTAAGTGAAAGAAAAGGCCACTGCGAGTCAAAGTCACTCTGTGTGTGAGTTTTTTCTTGGCCAGTAACTCGAACTCTCCTTCAAGGATTAAATCGTCCCTGATAGCCGCCATTTTTAGTGCTAGGGAACCATGTGACCAAGCCATAGTCACGTGGTATGTTAGATACCTGCGGTAGTACAGGAGATAAAGAAACAGGTTTCAGCAAACGAGAGATCAGCGCAGGTTGTGCACTTAACGCATATTCAACCAACCCCATGAACACAGGTTCCCAGCTTGGACACAGCAGCGCTCTCCTTAAACGATAGAAACGGATTTAAAAAAACAGAGCATTTTGGAAAGGCGAGAAGAGCTCATGCCTTCTCAAGGCAGCTGCAGTCTCGGTTGAGCCATACTGGCCAGGGCTTTTTCCCCAAGGCAGTGGATGGACTCAATGTGAGAGATCTGATCACCAATGTAGGAAGTTCTGCTGGACCTGCGGCCGCTGCTGCCCCAGTTGCTGCTGCTGCTGCCCCAGCTGCAGGCAAATCTGCCGCTGTAGAAGGAAGAAGAATCTGAAGCATCCGATGATGACATGGGCTTTGGTCTGTTTGACTAATCGCCATTGACAGTGAAATAAATGTAGAGAAAAAAAAAAGTTTGTGTAGTTACCGGCCAAGTAAAATTTTGCTTATGAAGTTTCTGAGGGGTTCCAGAATATATAGGAGACGGTAGCGGCCTAACTGGATCTTGAGGACACACAATAGAGTCAGATGTTGTAATTTAATATTTGCGCTGACAGAGAAGGGGGTTTGCCGGCTCCTGGCTTGTGAACTGAATAGCAGAAACCGTCCCGCATTCACGTATGGTTGCCCTTTGCCTAGGACAATAACCGCCCTAAATGCCTCGTTCTCGTTCTACTTCAGTGCGCTATGTCACCATTTTTACTTAATTATAGTAAATGCAGGTGGGAGTCCCCGTGGCCGAGCGGCTAGACGCTCGCCGCGGATCGGAAGGTCGTGGGTTCGCTCCCTGGAGGAGCCGGACTATTTTCAAAAATGACCTTGGCTCCCAGGTCGACCCAGCCTTTAGTGGGTACTGGGTGCAGTCCCAGAAGTAAAGGCGGCCGGCGTGATGCTGACCACATCACCCACCTTGTGCCGATTGGTCTCTAAAAATATAGGTCTAGCCCTATATGTCCTAAACGCCTAAAGGCGTGGAAAAGGGTCCTTTACTTTATAGTAAAAATGTTTCACCGATTTGTACAAGAAGATATCATGTGATTATCTGCTGTTTGTAGAAATTTCACTACAGCTCCTCCGTCCACTAAGTGTAGAAACTATAGACATACTAAAACAACCTAAGACAAACATTGAAATGAATGTTAACAAGAAGAACAAGCACCGAAATGGGAAACAAAAGGTCTGAGAAAAATAGGGCGTACAAGGTGTCATGTAACAGCATCAACAATAGACTTGTCCACATTTTAGACACCACCATACAAATTTATTTATTTATTTGTCTCAGATGATCAGTCCATGCGTAAATAGTTCTTTTGTTATTTAGGGTCCAAATGGTGAAAATATAGACAGATTACTCTTAATCCTTCTTGACGAATAGTGTCAGTGTATATGATACGACACGTTTTCCGTGTCTGTTGAAACATACTGTTTTGACCGCATCACTATTAAGCTTGAGCCATATCACTGCCCAACGGTTGTGGTTAGGAACTAGTATTCTCTACGTCACTTTTGCTGAGACTGTTCAGTGTGCAGATACGCATCGGCGTTGTGGCCACTTGACCGTTATTGAAAAAAGTCTGTTTTGCCAGAGATTTTTCATCAGCATGGGATGCCAGAAAATCCAAAGAGAGTCGAGGCACTAGTCAAGCTTTCCAGTCAACCGTCAACTTGTGAGACCAACCAATATCGCAACGCCACCTTCTCATATCTTGTGCCGATTTGTAAGGTAACAAGTGTATTACCTTCCCCGACGTCTGATTGTCATCATAGATGGAACCATGCAGTGATCGTTAAACATAACGTTCTGACCGTCTGGTGAAGTCGACGCCAATGAGGCTCTGGGAGGACTGACTAATCTTTCCACTTGTCTGTGGGGGAGAACTTGTGATCTACTGTGTTGCTTGGAGAACTAAAGAACTGAGTGGATTTACACTTTCATGCTACAGAGGAGCTTCTCGAGTTCACCCAGATAGGTCCTGTAACATCAAGGGAGTATCTTGGCAGCCGAAACCAGAAAGTACCTAGGTCTCCGTGCAGTGATGAGAGTGGACGTGTTTGTGGCACCCTAAGGAGACCCGTCTTCTAGTTCTGATTTTTCAAGAACATTTTGAACTTTCATTCTGTCCTGTTTAATCTACGTTTTGTCTTGTCTCATGACAGTATACCAATTAAATTATAATCTTCGTCCGAGAAGTTTCTTGTTCTTAAATAAAAGTCTTGATCTAATTGCTGCCTCAGGCACCCAGGGGTGCGTAGTGCCCACTTTAGGAACCACTGCGACAGACATGACACAACAAAATAATTCCTTTAATGTTTACATTCTATGACACAAGACACCACAGATGTTTTACTTTTTTTTTTTAAATGATCTTTGTGACAGGGATGCCGAAACAAGAAAACAAAAGATGAGGGGCGGGTGTGGAAAAGCTCACTGACACCGCCTCATCGTACACATTTTCTAGACAAAGAGTCCTAACTCAAATGTGATAATACTAGTTTAATGGTATAATAATAATATCATTTATATTCTGATAATGACCCCCCCCCCCCCCCCCCACAAAAAGGGGGTATAGTAATATACTGGTGTCTGCGCAGCATAGAGATAACTAAATACTATGACAGAAGCTAAAGCGTGAATTTAAAAGAATAGGGAGGACACGGGGAATGCTATGTGCAATAGCGAGGGATAGAACGATTTGTCATGGGTTTTATAAGGGATCTAAGCCCCGCTGGGAAATAGAAGAAGAAGAAGAGGAGGAGGAAGAAGAAGAAAAAGACGAAGAAGAAGAAGAAGAAGAAGAACACAAAGAAGAAGAAAGAAAAAGAAGGAGAAAAATAGAAGAAGAAGATTTTATACCGGCTATTTTATAGAATTAGTCCTCTTGGCTTACTAGCAACAGTTTTACAAATGGCACCGATGTCTCAAAAAAGATTAAATAAGACTAAACTGACTAAACACCGGTCGCCCAAAACGTTTGTGCATCAAAAGTATCGCCACAAATGTGGAAACAGCAATAAAATCATCATCATCATCACCATTAGGTGCCTTGCCGACTGGCGTGGGCGATCATGCCTCTCCATAATCCACGATCTCCTGCAGCATGTATTAGTTCGTTTGCCGACACACCTCCATGCCATGCAACGAAAAATAGGACGAGACTGTCAAGCATCTTCTCTCGTTGTCTTCCTCTATATCTCCTTCCACAGATCCTTCCAGTGGTCACAACATGTTCTATTTTCCCTCTTCTCATAACATGGCCGGAAAATGTTGACTGTCTCCTTCTGATTTTTGTGATATGTTGTCTTCGGGCTCCCGCCTCTTTCAAAACATCTTGGTTGCTCTTTTCGGCTGTCCAATGTATTCTAAGCATTCTTCTGTAAAACTACATCTCTGAGGCCTCAAGAAATTGTTTGGCCTGTTCAGGGTTCACAGCCATATGTTAAAACTGGATGTATGTAGCAAGCAAGAAATCTTTTTCTAACTCTCAATGACAAAGATATATTGCACAAGATGTTTTTAGCAAAAAAATGTATACATTAAATGAAGACTACGGTCATGGAGCTGGAGATGTGTTTAATGAAGTTCATGAAAGACTTATGTAATAAACCTAAACAAAATATAGAGCTTTAAATTGTATAGTGTTAAAGGCAAGTCATGTGTTTCAATTACAATGTTATTTCACTTTCAACATATACCAGTGAACGCTGGAGAACAACTAAAGATATGGAACCAAAGTTAAATGCATTCGAATATAAATGCCCGAGGAAAATTATAAACATAAAATTGGATGAACTAACGAAAGGTGAAGAAACAAATGGTTGTGCTTTTAAAACTACTGGTATCGACAGTTATAAGACAGAGAAGATGGCACCATTTTGGATAAAATGAGAAGAAACGAGCAAAAAGTTACCAAACAGGCACTGAAATGAGAACAAGAGAGTGAGACTGAGCAAATGATGACGTCCAAGTGAAACCCTCAAGAAAACGATGATGACAGAGGCCATGGGTGCTTTTCTGGATTACAGCCATAGTGTCAAAGAATTTCACAGAATAGAAAGGAGTGGATAAGTGGCCTGCAAGCCCAAGGAAACGTGTACTCCTTTAAGAGGACAACGGTGATGAATTCTGCAATTTAGCAAGGGGTTCACATTCTTCCAGCTACAGAGCAGAGGGAATTGCACTTCTGATGTTATGTTCTTTCTCGAACAGACAACAGCGCAGCAAATATAGCATAGTGGTCTTTCTGGCTGATGCTAAGTCGATTCTACATGCAATTGTTAACCAAGTTCTGGATGCAATTGTTAACCAAAAAGACGCAGTTTGTAGACTTGACGCAACAGCTGATTACAAATACTCTTAAGTAGAACAATCTATCCTGCAATGGATTCCAGGTCACTGTGGCCAATGAAATAGGGGGCAGGCTGGCCAAACGTTACAGTGGCATGGTGCAGTCAAATGGTAGATTAACCCACCAGGAGACTAAGACATAAATAAAAACTATTATCCGAGAAAGGTGGCTGGATACCCAAGCCAATTTTTTTTTTCCCAAGACTGGCTTCATCGCCTCTCAAGGGAGCGTCAGTCGATCAGACTAATGCTGACCACATTACCCACAGAGTGCTATGGTCTGTAAAAGTATGGGTCGCTCTGCCCATATGCCCGATGCGCCGAAAGGCGTGAAAAGGGATCTTTACTTTTACTTTTTAATTGTGTTAAACTTGCCTGAATGTTACAGTCTAGTTCAAATGTGACCCTCTAGGAAGTTTGAAAACACGGTGACTGGTCCAGCAAAGCGACAGTGTCTTCGTGCTCGTAGAAAATAACGAAATCTCACGAGCCGACTAGAACGACAGTGGTCAGAGACACTGACAAGAACTGCATACGAAGCGAACAGAAGGACCCGTTCCAGAGATCTCTTCCTGCCCTGACGCTGCAAGGCATTCCAGGAGTAGAGACAAGAAGAAACAGAAGAAGAAGAGTGTCTTCCTGATACCAGATTTACTGACAGAAGGATCAAAGGTGTTGATGATGACAATGATTGTAGGCATTAGTAAAAAAACAAAACAAAAAAACAACATCATTTTATAATGGCACAAGCTCAGGCAAGATGACACACATAGAACTGCCATCGCCTGTCTTTCCTGTGGTTGTTATGGATGCTGTAAACCCCTTTAATGGCCCGTCCAGTGGGAACATTGAAGTTCACAGGTTTCTCCCAGTAGTTGACGAATGCGGTATGATAGCAGTTCTTTGTGGCTTTGCTGGCAACTCTGCAGCACCGGAGCATGAATCGGCGGTCCTGGTATTGGTCGCTGTGGTAGCTCATCATCCCATTCACCACCTCATCCCCGGGGCAGTTGTGTTGTAACCGTTGCTCAAAGGCGTTGAGATAGTCTGAGAGTACGCAAAGATCCAGGTAAAAGTATTTGTTAACATTTGTGCTAGCTCTTGCAACTACCGCCAACAAGTAGTTATATTAGTCCTAGTCGTAGTAGTAGTAGTAGTAGTAGTAGTAGTAGTAGTAGTAGTAGTAGTAGTAGTAGTAGTAGTAGTAGTAGTAGTAGTAGTAGTAGTAGTAGTAGTAGTAGTAGTAGTAGTAGTAGTAGTAGTAGTAGTAGTAGTAGTAGTAGTAATAGTGATAGAGGTGGTGGTAGTAGTAGCAGTAAAAGTAGTATTAGAAGTGGTGGTGGTGGTGTTAGTAGTAGTAGTAATAGTAGTAGTAGTGATGGTAGTAATGGTGGTAGTAGTAGTAATAGTAGTATTAGAAGTGTTGGTGGTAGTAGTAGTATTAGTCGTAGTAGTAGGGTAATGAAGATATCTTTAATGAAACTAACTCACGTAGAGAACTGATTTCCCACATGAGAAGGAGACAATCTACATTCTTTGGTCATGTTTTTCTTTTTCTTTTTCTTTAGTTCGCTTGAAATGGATTATCTCTATATGCAGTGTTGTCTCTAGTATGAGGTTTGCTGTTTTTTGTAAATCACTCAGTGACCTGTAAAGTTTGACTTGCACCAATGTTTCTCTTGGCCAACAGTTTTGCCATGATATGTTGTATTTGGGACAGTCTTGGTGGACATGATGTGTTGTCTCAGGTGCCAATCGGATTTTAAATGTTGTGTACTTGTGGCTGCGAAGTCGATTGTGTTTTGTTCACTTGATAACAAGAAGAAAACTGGAGTACATCGTGATAGTAGGAAAGTTGGAGGGGAGGAGAGACAGAGGGAGACCGAAAGAACAGATGCTGAACAGTTTGACATCATGGCATAGAGGATCATCTGTATCAGAGTTGATAGAAAGTACACGAGACGGAAGGTTGTGGATAAAGACATGACTTTCAACTCCACACGGCTTATACTTTAAGAAGTAGAAGAAAAAGAAGAAGAAGAAGAAGAAGAGAAGAAGAAGAAGAAGAAGAAGAAGAAGAAGAAGAAAAAGAAGAAGAAGAGAAAAAAGAAGAAGAAGAAAAAGAAGAAGAAGAGAAAAAAGAAGAAGAAGAAGAAGAAGATGAAGAAGAAGAAAGCGAAATAATAGTAATAGTAAGGGTAGTAGTAATTGTAGTAGTAAGAGTAGTAGTAAGGGCAGTAGTAAGAGTAGTAGCAGTAATAGTAGTAGCGGTGGTATTACTGGTAGGAGCAGTAGTGGTAATAATAGTTGTGGTGGTGGTGGTGATAGTAGTGGTCGTTATAATAGTAGTAATAGTGGTGATAGTAGTAGTAAAAGTAGCAGTAGAAGTATTTGTTTTTGTTGTCATGTTCGTGATGGTGGCGTAATAGTAATAGTAGGAGTAACAGTAGCAGTAGTAATAGTAGTGTAGTACCAGCAGCAGCAGCTGCAGCAGCGGTAATAGTATCCACAATATAGTTTTGGTTATTACTGGAAGCAGTTAATGGTGACGATTAAACTGACTGCGATGTTAGTGTTCGCAATTATTAAAATAGATTAAAGATAGGGAGGCGGAGGAGGAGGAGAGGGAAAATAAGGTAGAGTAGAAGGAAGAGTAACGGTTTGAAGAGTAAGTATAGAAAGAGGAACAGGCTCATAAGAAGAGTAAACCTCACTGAGATCATGGATTCACAAACTGAATTGGCTAACCGCCTCCTTTGGAAATAATAGTAGTAGTAGAAATAAAAATAGAGTCTCTAAGGACATCTTCATGGCGAATAAAAGAAGAAGGTTAGAAGTGTAACAGGGAGACTTCACCACTTGTTTGTTAGGAGATAGGATATAGCGCAAAGCTAAGATGTACCAGGATCAACAAGTTATGGTAACTTTTTTTTCCCGCCAAAACTAACCATTGACGTCATGGGTGTCCTTCTTTTTCCGCCCAAAACTTGCTATTGACGTCATAGGTGTACGTCAAACTGATGTCGTTGGGCCTTTGCCTTCTTTCTAGAAGTTTCGAAATTCGTTTTTTTTTTCTCCCCCATCGTGTGACCCGACCTTGTCGTTTCCCACCTGAGTAAAAAATTATGCGCTGATCTGAATACTTCCCTCCTGCTCCTGGCCATCGCATTTCATTAATTCCTAATATGTGGATGTTCATTCTCTTCATTTCCATCTTGATGTTATCCAGCTTTCCGTTTTGTGCGAGTGTTCTGACATTACATGTACCAATGTTTAGGATGCTGCTACCATTTACTTTTTTTACAGTAGCTGGATGACGGTCGGGTATCAGCCGTAGAACATGATGCTCCCTACCGGACGAGGTGATTCCACTGGAATCCCCATTCACGTCGTTATCTGAATTCGTAATGTTTAAAGGCATGATTTACTACGGAAATTACAGCGGTGCTTTCCCCTCGCCTTCCGCTGGTGGAACCACGGCCTTCTCTAATTATTAGAGACGGCGTTGGTGGAACCTACCAATCAAATTTTCTTAAATGTTCATGAATTCTAGACAAAGCATTACGGTCTGCTGTGATTGTAAATTGTTGCTGTGTTTGTTGGTTTGTTTTTCGACCTATGCTTCGTTAATATAAAGTTCTGTAACCTATGGTGCCATTTAAATAGTTTGAGATGAATTCTGTCCGCATCCCATAGTTGTGGATTCCAAGCTGTACGATTGATATGCCAACGATGACACCTTTATTTGCTGGGCAAGGGGGTGTCAAGTTATGTTCTTAGTACGCTTGTCTCCATAGCGAGGCGTTCATGCTAATTGGAAAGGACAGGTTCGATTCCCGGCACGGTAACTATAGCTTTCGTTTTTATGGTGTCTAGTGTGTCCTTCTATCTTTCTACTTCTTTCTATGAGTGCCGATAAATATATTGTCTCTTTGTTAATTATATATATAATTGTGGAAGGAGTTTCTCAAAGCAGGCGGGTCTTGCTTAGCACGGTCGCCATCGCCAGGGACAGTGAGTCCTACGCCTCCTTATAGCGCAATATAGTCTGGAAAGAGGGAAAGGTGCCAATCAATAATATTAATAATAATAATAATAATTAGGGCTGTACCGAATATTCGCTTCGGGGCCGAATAGTGAACCTAATAACTATTCGGTATTCGGCCGAATAGTTGCGGTCGGGCCGAATACGAATAGTGGTTACCTTACATCCGTTTCTGGACTGGTGGAAAATAAACACATCAAGATTTCCCACCTTGGTTCATACTGTCAAGCGTTATCTTTGTGCACCACCTACGAGTGTACCAAGTGAACGTCTGTTTAGTACAGCTGGAAATACCTTCAGTGAGACAAGAAGCTGCCTTAATGCTGACAACATGGAGCGACTAAACTTGTTATAAAACGAAGAATACTTTCATTCCTAGGTATTAGTTACCACAGACTGACTGACTGAAGGATGCAAAACATGAATTGTTTTTAAATGTTTACTATTCTGTACTACATTTTGTGAAGTAAAATTTCAGCGTACATATGACATTGTGGATGTTTTTTTTTTTTTTAAAGATCTATTTTATACACGAAAGTGGAAGAATGGGTCTCAGTTTAAATAGTGGGTAGACAGAAGTAATGGTGATATCAAAGAAAATAATTATTTCTAAATATGTAATAAAAGTCAATGATTTTATTTTGGGACAAGTACAGAAATTTAAGTATCTGGGCACATGGATAACAGCAGATGGAAGAAGCATTACTGAAATAAGAAACAGAATAGGACAGGCAAAAACTGCATTTTATAAAATGAAGAACATCTTTTGCAATATATCTTTGTCATTGAAGGTTAGAAAAAGAATTCTTGCTTGCTACATACATCCAGTTTTAACATATGGCTGTAAGTCCTGGACAATCGGTAGGCAGGCCAAACAATTTCTTGAGGCTTCAAAATTTTGGTTTTACAGAACAATGCTTAAAATACCTTGCACAGCCACACACACACACACACACACACACACACACACAAAGGCAACCAAGAGGTTTTGATAGAGACGGGAGCCCGAAGACATCACAGACATCAGACAGAGACAGTCATCATTGTTTCGGCCATGTTTTAAGATGAGGGAGAATGGAACATGTGGTGACAACTGGAAAGATGTGTGGAATGAAGGATAGAGAAGACAACAAGAGAAGATTCTCGACAGTATTGTTACATGGCATGGAGGTGTGTCAGCACACGAACTAATACATGCTGCAGGGGATCGCAGATTGTGGCGAGGCATAATCGCCCATGCCAGTCGGCAAAGCACCTGATGATGATGATTTGTATTCGTATTCGGCCGAATAGTTAGTCCAGCTATTCGTATTCGGCCGAATAGTGAAAATCACTATTCGGTACAGCCCTAATAATAATAATAACAATAAATAAATAAAAATAAACCCTGGAGTCGAACTAACGGGTAGATGCGGTATGGAGAAGTAATGAAAAGGTAAGAAATCACTACCAGTTTAACTACGATGTTAATCAAATATAGGCAGCTCCGTATGTCCCTTCACAGTGACTGGAAATTTCTAAATACACAATATTGATTTCATTCTCATGATATGGTGCATAATTATTTAAAAACTTCAAATGTTTGTCGACTTAACAGGACACCTGTACTTAAAACAAGCAGATACGATTTTCGAAGATTCGTTTCTATTTTGTTTATTCCTCACGATACTAAAAAAAAATTTATAAAAAAGAATTGAAAATAGAAGGGGAAAAAATAGAAAAGAATCTTTGAAAATCGTTTTTGTTTTGTTTTTGTTCATCCCTCACGATACTTGGCCGGCACTACAGAGCCTGTGCAGTGTGCTGGGCTTCTTCGGACTCAGACTTGAGTTAGAAGAAGAACGGAGCACTTATGGGTTACTACCCTTGCGCATGATGTTGAACCATTGTTCAAACCTCAAACCTCACGTACTATAACTACCTGACTGTTATAAACAACCCATTCTATATTCAGACTGCAATCCTTTGGGAGGGGCTAAAATTAAAGTGTGTATTTTAGGAGGGGGTAAAAGTTAGGGCCCTCTCCTATCCCCCTACCGCACCCCATTTTTATGTTGACGTAGTTGCCATTAACTACTTACTTGTCCAGTAACAGTCGCTGGTCGCACCGGGTGAAAGTCTGCATTTATACTGCCATCTCCTGTCCTTATAGCGGTTGCTATGGATGCTGCCGATAAAGCTCAGGGTCTTGTTTGCCGGACATTCGAATCTGGCGTTCTCGTCAAAGCCGTTGACATACTGACCATCCACTACATACCAGCCCTGGACAAGAACTAGAAGGCAAACTGTGATGGTTGGTAGCATTGTTGTCATGTCGGCAGGAAGATATCTCGGCTAACAGCAACAAGTTCTGAAACTCGTGCTTAGAATTGGACAGTTTTGGCGGGCGATGAATTCTCCATTAGGACTTCAGTTGATCGTTGTGACAAGTCTAACTAGCTGTTGCTTTTATATCCATATCTTGTTGATTTAACACGGATGCAAACAAAAAATAAAAAAAAAATTTTTTACGAGAAAATATATTTCTCATGTTTCCGTTTTAGTTTAATGTTTCATTAAAATATATCGACCAGTAATTACAATGTATTTCAGTTCTTTCGTAATATCCTACCCCAGACGACGTCACAGGCCAGTCCAACATTTTAGAGATTGGTAAGACTAGGTTTCCCGGCTTTCTAATGCCTTTAACGACACCAAAACATCTAGAACTGGCCCTAACCCACCTTCGTCCCACGAAAGGGTGCAGCTTAGGTCCCATGACTGCATGCAGCCTATCTACCACCCACTGAAATATTAGACTGTCCTGTGACACATGGATTTTCCATGTTTGGGGTAGGATATTAGGAAAGCACCTGTATTTCTTGCTACATCATGCTTAAAAAAAAATTATTGCTGTGTTAAGACAATTTAGTCTTTCTTGTTGCATATCCTGGGGAGACGCTAATAAATAATCGCGAAACAATGACTGAAACAGGAAACACATTATTTGAGAAAACAAAGACGCCAACGAGAAACCCTAAAACGAAAGTTGTTGAGAGAAGTCAAAGTTTCTGGAATTTATAGCATTTATAATATCGAGCAAAGTTGCTGGAATTTGTAGCATTTATAATATCGAGCAAAGTTGCTGGAATTTGTAGCATTTATAATATCGAACGTCGGCTCTGTGGCTAAGTCGATGAGAACTTTTCGTAATGCCGGGATGCTGAGTTCGATCTCAGCTGCGGGCCATGCGCCTTGCATTGGTTTCGACAGTGGTGTCAAGAAAGCCGACCATCCAGGGCAATGGCAAACTACTGGACGTAAATTTGCCTAGAAAAACCACACAACAGCAGGGGCTGTTAGGATTGGTTCTGCAACGTCCTGTAAAGGATACGCAACTAACCGATAATATCGAACGCGGCTTAGGCGTTGCGAGTCCGACTCATAATTCCAACGTACCGCGATCGAAACCCACTGCTGGTTGCGTGGATTTTTATCATGGTCGACCCAACCTAAAATGGGTACTAGGATGGCTGTCCTGGGGAAGTAAAGAAGGTCGGCGTAATGCTGACCACATTACCCACCTAGTGCCGATTGGTCTATGATAATATGGGTGCACTTCCCATAAGCCTTATGCGCGTAAAGGCGTGAAAAGGGATCTTTACTTTACTTACTTTTTTTACTTATAATATCTAACAAAGTGTTAGAATTTACAGCATTTATAAAATGGAACAAAGTTGCCTAAATTTACAGCATTTATATGGAACAAAATTGCTTGAATTTACATCATTTATAATATCGAACACAGTTGCTTGAATTTACAGCATTAATAAAATAGGAAAAAAGTTGCTTGAATGTACAGCATTTATAAAATGGGAAAACAAAATTGCTTGAATTTACAGCATTTATAATATCGAACAAAATTGCTTGAATTTACAGCATTTATAAAATGGAGAAAAGTTGCTTGAATTTACAGCATTTATACTATCGAAAAAAAAATTGCTTGAATTTACAGCATTTATAATATCGAACACAGTTGCACTGGATAGAAGTGAATAAAGGAATAGTATTTTTGCATTCTATGGGAGTTTAATAAATGAATCGAGGACAATACAGTGGTACCGCGGGTCGCTTCTTCAATTCATTCTTTGACTCCGCTTGCGAACCGAAATTTTCGCTAGCCTAAACAAATGAAATTGAAATCAATCCAGATTCAATTAATCTGTTCGCCCGCCCCAGAAACATGTTTAAACAGAAAAAAAAAAAAAAAATTTCCTCAATAGATTTATGAGTGAAACAAATATATAACATAAATGTATAATATTTACCCGTGTATTTGATAGTTTCTGGCACAGGTAGATGGTAGAGTAGCAGGAGGGAGACTGCTGCTGGCACAAGTAGATAGTAGAGTAGCAGTAGGGAGACTACTGCTGGTACAGGTACAGTAGCAGGAGGGAGACTACTGCTAGCACAGGTAGAGTAGCAGGAGGGAGACTACTGCTAGCACAGGTAGAGTAGCAGGAGGGAGACTACTGCTAGCACAGGTAGAGTAGCAGGAGGGAGACTACTGCTGGCACAGGTAGAGTAGCAGGAGGGAGACTACTGCTGGTACAGGTAGAGTAGCTGGAGGGAGACTACTTCTAGCACAGGTAGAGTAGCGGGAGGGAGACTACTGCTAGCACAGGTAGAGTAGCAGGAGGGAGACTACTGCTAGCACAGGTAGAGTAGCAGGAGGGAGACTACTGCTGGCACAGGTAGAGTAGCAGGAGGGAGACTACTGCTGGCACAGGTAGAGTAGCTGGAGGGAGACTACTTCTAGCACAGGTAGAGTAGCGGGAGGGAGACTACTGCTGGCATAGGTAGAGTAGCAGGAGGGAGACTACTGCTGGCACAGGTAGAGTAGCAGGAGGGAGACTACTGCTGGAACAGGTACAGTAGCAGGAGGGAGACTACTGCTAGCATAGGTAGAGTAGCAGGAGGGAGACTACTGCTGGAACAGGTACAGTAGCAGGAGGGAGACTACTGCTAGCATAGGTAGAGTAGCAGGAGGGAGACTACTGCTGGAACAGGTACAGTAGCAGGAGGGAGACTACTGCTGGCACAGGTAGAGTAGCAGGAGGGAGACTACTGCTGGCACAGGTAGAGTAGCGGGAGGGAGACTACTGCTGTCACAGGTAGAGTAGCAGGAGGGAGACTACTGCTGGCACAGGTAGAGTAGCGGGAGGGAGACTACTGCTGTCACAGGTAGAGTAGCGGAAGGGAGACTACTGCTGGCACAGGTAGAGTAGCGGGAGGGAGACTACTGCTGTCACAGGTAGAGTAGCGGAAGGGAGACTACTGCTAGCACAGGTAGAGTAGCCGGAGGGAGACTACTGCTGGCACATGTAGAGTAGCAGGAGAGAGACTATTGCTGGCACATGTAGATGTTAGAAAAGCAGGAGGGAGACTACTGCTGGCACAGGTAGAGTAGCGGGAGGGAGACTACTGCTGGCACATATAGAGTAGCAGGAGGGAGACTACTGCTGGCACAGGCAGATGGTAGAGAAGCAGGAGAGAGACTACTGCTGGCACAGGTAGATGGTAGAGAAGCAGGAGGGAGACTACTTTGGCACAGGTAGAGTAGCAGGAGGGAGACTACTGCTGGCACAGGTAGATGGTAGAGAAGCAGGAGGGAGACTACTGCTGGCACAGGTAGAATAGCGGAAGGGAGACTACTGCTAGCACAGGTAGAGTAGCCGGAGGGAGACTACTGCTGGCACAGGTAGAGTAGCAGGAGAGAGACTACTGCTGGCACATGTAGATGTTAGAAAAGCAGGAGGGAGACTACTGCTGGCATGCTTATTAGAGGCAGGGTTATTTATCAGCCTATTTTAATAATTACTTCTCCCATTTGTTAAAAATTGTATAACTGGGATAGTCTAATCCCTGTATGCCATGTTGGAAAATACAGTCTAGAAACAGGTGTAAGTGTTGCTGAAACTATATGAAATGAAGGGGAACTAGTCAGGGCTAAACTATGGCACAGTGTTTCCACATTTCCTAGATTTGATAAAGCGCATGAAAGAGCTGCCAGAGTAGGGAAAAAAATGGTTAAAATGATAAAAAGAGCAAGATAAAGTATTCAGGCAGCTGAGCAATACCCTGAGGATGATTTATGCGCAGAAGGGACTCATTAGGTAGAGAATTTTTGTGAAAACCAGCTTGGTCAGTTACTTTTTCTAGATTTTCTCAAAAATAACTTTTTTTTTTTTTTTTTTGTATTTTTTACTGTGTTGTACAATGATATCTCAAAAAGTTAGTAACATACTGTCTCCAAACTTGACACACATAGGAAAATAACACTGAAACAGAATGAGTAAATTTTCTTTAGTTCATAACGTTTAAAATATAATGCTAAATTTGTGTGCAAATTTTCATTAAGCAACCTTTGTTAGTATTTTAATCATCTTCGTAAATGTTGCGAACTAATTTGGCTTTTTTCCGCATAACATATGACATTTTCAATCAATATCCGTGAAAATATGTTAATTTTAGCCCCCAAAAATTAATTTTCCTCCAATCATTAACTGGTGTGTACCTACAGGAAGTAACGTTTCCAGCAGATTTAATCAAATTCATTTTGAGGGTTCAATGTGTCCTGCAAATACCTTGTTATCTGTCACTGTGGTTGTTAAGGATGTCAAGAGTATTAAGTACTGTCGATGTTGTTGTTAAGAATGTTAATAGTGTTAAGAAGACTAGCACGGTGACGTCATAATAGCAGTTTTAAAATGGCCGCACACTCAGGTTATAAGGCAATGGCTAGGTTTTTGTAATTTCTATCACACTTTTAAGGTTTTCCATTCAAAGCCACATTGTATATGTAACTCGGAAGGCAAATAAACGGGTTGGTGGGGGGGGGGGGAGAGGGGGGGGGGAAGATACATCGGTTTCGCTTATGTCTACATCAGTGGTCGACGTCTGTGGCGACTTAGGCGTTGTGATTGCCCCTTCGACAATTTCGAGGGACCCAGTTCGACCCCTTGGCGATTAGACAACAGAATGTCTCGCCTTGATTTCGACAGGGGCATTGAGAGCTGACCGTTCAATTTTGCAATGACGCACTACTAAACGTAAAATTGACCAATGTAACAAAAAACAGTCAACAAATGCTGAAGCTGGTTCTGTAACCGTCTTAAAGGATACGATACTGGCTACATCACTGAAGCGGATGTAAAAAAAAAACATGCGAAAAAAAGTGGGCGGGGGAGGCTTCAGATTCCGCAATCCCCACACGAAAAATAAATATACACAGTAAGGGTGTGTCATAATCCTAGTTTTAGAACATAATAATA